CATCAGTAGGGGGGACATAATCTTTTTGACGGAGCTCTCCTAGCTTCAAAATTTTTCTTATATTCTTTACATCCACGATAGCTGCAGACGTGAGATTCTCCACAGAAAATACAAGTCGGCTTTTCTTCATTCTTGAGGGTGCATTGGTTGCTTCTGTGATTTTTGCCGCACTTACAGCAGCGAACCATGTTATTATATAGATGTTGCGAGTGGCCCCATTCCTGGCATCTATAGCACTGAGTGGGGGCGTGTCTTCGGGGAGTAATTCTTAATCTTTACGTTCACGCTGAACATACAGTTCAGATTGTGAATGGCGAATCCAGCTTTGTTTTTCTCTAATTCGAGTAGGTAAATCAGCAGTTTTTCTTGACTATTTCTCCTTGACCATTGAAATTGTCTAACTTTCCTGATTGGGAAGTTTCTTCGCTTCAGGTCCTGAAAGATCGCTTCTTCTGTGATTTTATCAGGTAAGTTTTTCAGAACCACCCGCATAGGCTTTTCGAAGTTCATAAGGAAAGTATGAAAGGGAATGCCTCTTCTTTGCAGCAAGCTGGTGGTATTTCTGTAGTCGTCGATGGTCTTAACCTTTACGAACATTGTTTTCGCCTTCATTTCTGCCTCGAATTCATCTTTACATACGCTTAACAAGATTTCTTCCAACTTCAACCAATCCACGTCTTGGTTCTGGAATACAATGGGCAGAAGCGTCTCCATCTGAACGGCTCCTCGCTCTGGCTCCTCCTGTTTTTGCATTTCAAGTAACTTGAATGTGTTTTCGTAAGATATTTCCTGTGGTTGAGTATTTTCTACCTTTTTAGCCGATTTTTTCGGAGTGATTCAAACTTTTTCATCATCGCTAACGACAACTGAGCTGGTATCCATGGCCCTTTGGGTAACTTCTTCACTGCAGCTTGTAACTGCTTCGGGCGTGGGATTCTTACCGCTGGCTTCCATCTTTTCCCCCACCTTTCCCTTTTCTGCGGCAATTCTTTGCTTTAGCCGTGCCATAGTTCCTTGTACCCTTTCTGGGAACAAAAAATCTGCTATCAACTGTAACATTCTCTCTTCGCCTGCAGCTTGTTCCGTTAGTTCCGCCCAGCATTTTTCTTCCTTTACCCGTTCTACATTCTCACTGCTACTTGACTTCTTCGAAGTTTTCACCTTCTTATACTTTTTCTGAGGCGACTTGATAAAATCTTCTTTCCTCAAGGGTAGTGATTTCTTCGCCCTGAATGATCTGTCCGAGTCTGAGAATTCCTCGTCCGTCTGGTCCATGTGTGTCCTAAAAAAGGACATTTTTCAATTACCCTACGGTAATCCGCTTCAGATTAGCACTCACCACAATAAAGACAACAGTCTTCGACACAACTACGAGTAAACCGCACTATCCGCCTACGGGACTGGGATAGGTCCTTCATTCGTGACTGCTTTCTAGTATTAAATAAAAAAATTAAAATTAAAGAAAGATAAAAAAGACAAAAGCAAATAAAAAGAAGAGAGCAGAAAATGTTAACTTAAATATACATTTAACGCAAGAACGGAAAATATAGATCAGGGGCTGTGCCGGCGACTAGGGTGACAGCTGAAAGTTACTTCAGCCTGTTTGAGATATTATGTGCGATACTGACTCAATCGCGTCTGGTACTGTGGCTTTAAAATTAATCAGACTTAATTTTCCTGATAATTTGTTTTGCATTATATGATCATTACTCCAGATTAAAGGCCGATTAAAGCAGGCATGCCCCAAGGCCCAGTTTTTATGATGTAACTTTACATACTTATGATATCCCGCGACACCCTAAAATTCGGATAGCGCTCTCGTCTTTGATGGAATACACCAAAATACTATAAAATTTTGGCTTCACCAGGGACAGAGGGGTTAAGAGTACTAAATGCCGGTAGTCCATTCTGGGTGCGAACTGAGTGAACGGGCTGGCTACATGGTTGGTTTTCGTGGTTTTTCCCATGTGTAACGTGAATACGAAGCAGTTCCCCTTCCCTTAGGCAGATAGCCCTTGCATGCTTTATCATAATCCAATAACCACAGAGAAATAACAGTGCATCTTGGTTTATATGAAATAGTACAAAACATACATATTTTAAATTCGAAACCCTCCAAAAATTCATTTCCAAAACTGGTCAAAATTTTTATTGCAATGTCCAACATCATCAAAATCATGAGCCTCGATCACAAGAATGACAAGCGTACCTGCTAATATTCTTTATCGTAACAATTAGTTCAAGCTGGCACTTCGCCGTTTTTCACAAAATGAAGAATTTGAATACTTTTCACGGTCATCCCACTGCTAATTACTTTTCCTGACTCTCTCTACCAGCAACGGAGAAAAAGAAGGCTACTTCCGGGAACTTCGAAATATTATATATTCTTATAATCCATACCGGAGCTTTTATATAAAACAAATGCTATTATTTTGTTAATTAAGAAATAAACATACCTCATGAGCTATTTCGAGACCTCCACTGTCCGCCATATTTTCCGAAAGTGTCATTGTGCCATTCACCTGTTTCAAGGAGACACAAATTAATTACCATGTGGAAATTGAAATAGTTAGAAAATTGAAGGGAAAACAAAAATATCTCGATTGAGGGGTCAACGTTGCTCACTAATGGATGTCTTTATTGACAGACTTCAAAATGGAGTTAGAATCAGGGACAATGAATGGAAAGTGCTGTAATTGCTCCATTTTTCACACTTTCTCTAGTGCAAAACTACCTATGCATGGTCAGTGCCCAGATGGACTAGACATTTTTTTTGTAAATATCAGCGAGCTGTGTCAGTTGGAAGAGTATCGCGAACAAATCTAAAGGACTGGGCCAAAGAATGTAATTAAATTCCTCAGAGTGTATATGTAAATCTAAAGTATATATATAAGCTCTATATATAAACACTTTTATAAAAGCAGAAGCTCTTATAAAAGTTCTTATAAAGAGAGACACAAAATGCAAACAAAAATTTTAATGTCATTTTTTGGAAATTTAGACCGATGGATGCCATTGTGGAATTACAAACTCTTAAATTGGGGGCATATATGGCATTTATACACTTTAACAGAGGGCTTTTAGGCTTACTAGATATTTTAAATTGTGTAAGTATGCAACATGGGGAAGCCGAGAGATTTAGTATGCTCGACATGGAGCGAATAGGTAAATCGAAATATCACTCACTACCCAGAGTAAAAATTGACATAAAAAACAAATAGGCATAATATAAGCAGCAAAACAGATAAAGCAGAACAAAAAGAAGGTTATAACCTATAGATATGGAGATTTTTAGGTATTTGGGTGAAGATTTAATAATAGAAATATAGCATTTTAAACTTTAAATACATTTTTCTCAGAATTTATTTTTTCTAAAAACTTGCTTATTTGGTGCAACATAAATCAAATTATTATAACTTTATTTTTATGAAACTTTGTATGCTTAATCTACATATAGTTATCTAGGGAATGACGTACCAGAATTTTTATATGTTAAATATTTTAAATGTGGTCTGTTATTTAAATAATGACATTGTGAATTTATCGAAAAGCTCATAAAAAATTTCAAAATTCTGAAATTTTTGTATTATTTAAGATATCCTTCAAATTCTACGTCATTCCTTAGATATAAGCATGTAATTCATTAGTGTATGACTTTTTTAAATGTAACTTTAATATTTTTTCGTGTAAAATGTTTCAAATTGTTTTAAAATTTGCTTAAAATTTCACATAAATTTAATATTTTTTGCAGGATAATAATAGTATATATTAAATTTTGATATTCATTAATTAATCTCTGCAGATAATAAATAAGAAAATGTGCTTATAGTATACTTATAGTGCTTTTTTGTTTTTGAAAAAAAAAAAAAAAAAAAAAGTGCTCCAAACGTGGTCGGATACCTTAAGTAAAACAATATACAAAAGCAACAAAGCAATCAAATGCGTTTAACATTTAGAGAAATTTGCAACAAAATCATCGTCTTGAAATGCATTTTTCTTTCAAAATGTCGCAGGTAAACAAACTTTTGATGGAAGGATATCTTTTTGCTCTTTCGAAAAGGAATATTTTTATTCCGCGATTTCCGAAAGTTATGAAATACATGGTATTAAACTTCTAAATGCAAAACAAGCAATGTTAAAGAAGCATGGGTTTCTCTAAATGACTGCAGCAACAAAAGAAATAGCAAAAGAAAAAAGGATTTATTATCAAAAAACGAGATGGATAAATTACATTTTAACTATTAAACAGCCCCGAAATCGTTCTAAAAAATGTGTTAACACCCTCTGTATTTCGTTTCTAAATTAATTTTATTTCAATACTTGATAATGAAGGATATATAATTTTAATCTAGTTTTTATTTTCTAAACTATAATTCTAATCTTACGTGGCTGTCAACTCGTGGCTCGTAGAAATCATCATACTGTTTCACAAAACATTGTTGTTTCTCTTCGAATTGTTTCCAGCTAGCATTTGTAAACCACATCCGGTAGTTACCTTCTTCATCAAAATGGCTGCCTGCAACAAAAAATTATTAATTTTTGCTTTCTTTGTACACTTTAGTTAATCCGAGCTAAATTTACGTTCTACAAGCTAGCGTTAGTATTACTCTCGACTGCATGAATGTTGTTTTAAAATAAATTCAAAATGTCTGTAGCAGTTGTTTAAAACAAATTATGCATCACTAAATGTTTTATATTCTTTAATTATCTGCATATTTTTTATTTATTCATAAATGTCTTAAATTGTGCGCATCATAATGTTTTAAATTAGGTGCATATTCAGAGCCCAAAGGATGGCTCATGCATTAACTGGGCTTCAAAAACCTTTTCATTTGTATTCTACTGTGAAAATTACAATGCATAAAAGGCCTTCCAATGGCTGGGTGGATAAAACCGCTGAATACTGCTAGTTCGACTCAAGTTCATATCTCAGATTGATTGCATGGGTGTTGTCCGGTTTTTCGTATATCTAACGTGAATACTAACCATTTTTTTGGTGGAAATTCTCCACGAAAATATCCCTCTCCTTAGGTAGATAATCTACCCTGTTTTGCCATAATCCAATCAGACACATAAATCAGCAAACGAGCCCGCTATGACGTATATATATACATATCTTTCATCTGCTGTTAGTGACAGAAGATGCATGTATTAACCAGAATCCAGTGGAAATTTTATTTTCTAAGTCTGTGATGTCAAGAGCTTATCGTTAGTATTATATTGATAATACTTTAGCATGCTTAAGGGTTCGCAATATATTGAATGCACAAGTCCGAGAGGAACAGCTTTAGTATAGCCCACCTTCAAAGTTTGGCGAATTTGGTTTGGCGCCAAAGCACATGAAATACGTTGTTTTGAAAAATGGTTGCCATCTTCATTTCACCAGAAATCGTGGATAATGGAAATAATCATGATACAGTAAAACATGATACAGTTAAAATTATCATGACACAGTAAGCGAATTCTACCGGTTATTACAACGATAAAGAACGTCGCAGTCTCATACTTGTATTTCATACAGCTTCAGTATTTTCAAATATTTTTAAGTTTTAGCATTTATACAAATAAAAAAAGTTTTTTTTAATTTAATACTCTGGAACATATCAATTTTATCATATTTACAAATTAACGTTTTTGCTACGTAACAACATAATCCCTTATATACCAGTAAGTAGATAATTTTCATTATTTTCTAAAAATTTTAAACTTCACATTAATGAAAAAACAGGTTCTTAAATTCCTAAAATCACATTATATTCTCTGTAGGCAGGCATACTAGAATTCTACACATAAATAAATAAAAAATTTAATTTCTCGCAATGAAAGAAAATATTATAAGAAAATAAATACTACAAATTAGGAACACTAAGCAATGCTTCACATACACACACACACATACAGTGTCTCACAAAAGTGGATGGGACACTTGTGCTTTGCAAAAGGAAACTGTAGTAAAATAAATTAAAAAAAACATGTAAAAATTTTTTGTGGTGTGTGTTTCATACTTAAATTTAGTAACAATTATTACATAACATATATTTTATCAAAATATTAATTTAATAAAAATACAATTGTTTAGAACGGAGCAAAAAATGGCTCACATAAGTGATGGGACACTTACTTTTCCATAAAATATTTATCCAAAAATTTTACCTTATAAAAGGTTTTAATATTTTGTTGGATTTCCTTTTACTTTTAAAACATGATTTAATCTTCTTGGGATGGATTCGACTAATTTTTTTGCGATTTCTGGAGTGATTTTAGCCCATTCTTCTTGAAGCACCGATTTTAATTGTTGTTTTGAAGAAATGGTGTGTTTGCGAAATTCTTCCCTGGGTTTTATCCACACCAAGATTCTACTGTCAGAATAAATTTATTAAATTTACTCTCATCAGCAAATATAACTTCATTCCAGTAATCAGAATTCTTATTTATGTTGGATTTTGCGAAAGCCAGTCTGAGAGTTGTCTATTCTTTTCACTCAACGAAGAATTTTTTTTTCCTGGCTGCTCTACCGTGATATCCAGCATATCGAATTACTCTTATAATAGTCTCAGGATTTTACAATTACTCCATATAATGCTTGTAAATCAGACAGCAACTTTAGGAGCACTCATTCTTGGAGTTTTTTTTTAATATTTCCGAACGATAATTCGCTTTATTCCTTTGGATAGCTTTGATGGTCGGCCGAGGTCTTCTTGTTATCCTGAATCATATGATTCTTTTTATATCGTTTAAAATGATATTGAAAACTGTTGAATGACTCAGGTTAACTGTTTTCAGCAGTTTCTCTAATAGAATTTCCCACGTTTCATATGCAAATTTAATAACTAATTTTTCGAATTTCAGGCAAAGTTTCTTTTCGTTAGCATTCATGGATGCACAGAGATAAAAAACATAAAAATTCCAAAACAAACTGGAGAGAAATACTGCAGACGATTTTATAAATTATTGCCAATTGCTTTTGAGTAAAAATAAAAAACCCCAAACAATACTTTTATTGCTTACTTCAGACGATTTTTGTTGCATAGTACGTAGAAGTATCTAATGGCTGTCCCCATCACTTATGTGAACCATTTTTTGCTCCGTTCTAAACAATTGTATTTTTATTAAATTAATTATTTTGAGAAAATGTATGTTATTAATAATTGTTACTAAATTTAAGTATGAAACACACCCACAAAAAATTTTTTACATTTTTTTTTTTAATTAATTTTATTACAGTTTCCTTTTGTAAAGCACAAGTGTTCCATCACTTTTGTGAGACACTGTATTATCAAAGAACTCATATTATCAAGTGCGATTACGATTGCAAACACTACGTATGATAATAATGAGGTAAAAGTTACACAACGATCCGTATTCGCTCGAAAAACATCAAAGCTCGGTGTCCATGTACACATCCATCTACTTCCACCTTCAAAATATCAAAGAATTGCACAACCTCGGCATTGCGCACTACCTTGGCTCTGCCCATGTACTCATCGATCTATTTTCACTTAAAAAAACATCCTTTTGCCCATGTACACATCGATCTATTTTCACTTAAAAACATCCTAGAATTGCACAAACTCGGCATTGCGCACCACATTGGATCTGCCCCATGTACATATCGATCTATTTTCACTTAAAAAAACATCCGAGAATCGCACAAACTCGGCATCGCACACAAACCTCGGCATTGCGCACTACTTGGCTTTGCCCATGTACACATCGATCTATTCTCACTTAAAATCCTAAATATCCGATAATTGCACAAACTTGGCATTGCGCACTACATTTGCTCTGCTCATGTACACATCGATCTATTTTCACTTAAAAAAACATTACAGAATTGCACAAACTCGACATTGCGCAACACATTGGCTTTGCCGATGACTACATCAATCTATTTTCACTTAAAAACATCCGAGAATTGCCCAAACTAGGCATTGCGCACTACATTGGCTTCTGCCCATGTACACATCGATCTATTTCCACTTAAAAAACATCCTAGAATTGTACAAACTAGGCACCGCGCACAACCTCGGCATTTCATACTACATTGGCTCTGCCCATGTACACATCGATCTATTTTCACTTAAAAAAACATCCTAGAATTGCACAAACTAGGCACCGCGCACAACCTCGGCATTGCTCACTGCATTGGCTTTGCCCATGTATATAGCGAACTCTTTTCACTTAAAAAATCAGAAATTGAATAAACTCTGCATTGCTCATATACTAAGAAATCGCTTTCACTTAAAAAGAAATCGGAGAATTGCAGAAATTCGCGCATAAGCAACTCCATTGATTCGCGTTGTAAAAAAAAAAAAAAATTAAAAAAAAAAAAAAAAAATTCTAGAAAAATTGAGCTTACTACAGGCGAATCAAGATCCTAGCCTAATTGATTTCTCAGCCGTACATTTCTTGCAAATACTACCATTCGATGACTTTTTCTGACTAACTAACCAGCATGGTATCTTAATTTTTCACAGAAAACGTTATCCTTCAATAATGGACAATCCATCAAAAATCCTCTAAAAAGTTCATACTCTATTGTTAATTCATACATAAAATATCTGTTTCCAAAATTTTACGCTTGTTTGAAAACTACCACCTTAAATTTTCCTTTATAATCTCCTGATACTTAGTTACAACATCACTAACAGCAGTTTTAGAGCAAGCAATAACTAAACGCAAAAATATCACCTCAAGTAAGCCAAAAAAATATACAAAATAGTATTCACGGTATCTGAGCTTTAAATAATCGCCAATAACAGTGTTACGAATTGTGTATTAGATATTAATTTTAGTAGAATTCTAATTTAAAATGTTTGTATTTCCTCCTGCAACGCAGCGTGAGACAAATTTTTAGAGAAATCTATACCGGAAACAGTAAGAATACAGGGCAACGTGCATTAAACTTTGAGTAAACGGATATGTCGGTAATTTGTATTGAAATTGAATAAATGTACTGACTACTAAATTAGCTGTAACCGTAATTCCATCCTCTTGTTTACATTGCGTTTGGCGAATAGTATGGGTTACCAGATCATATCATTTATCGCCGCTCTTGGCGATATTTTTTTTGTTTAAAATTCCGGGTGGGCTATACTAAAGCTGTGCCGTCCGGGAAAACGTTAGTAAAATTTATTCTTATGCAAAGAAATATAACAGAACGCTGGAATTTTCCTCAGAGATATTCGTACAAGTGTTCACAATATCATTCAATAATAATCAGTAGTTATACTTAAAACTACTAAAAACGTTAAATAGAACTCAATACACAGCGCATTTAATCTCACGCTGAACTCGCAACAGTAACAACAGCAGCTAACTAAACAGCTGAGCTGAGATGTTCTCTCTGTCGCTTTTTATAGTTTTCAATCGGTCGCGAGAAATTTCTGCTTCTCGAGATTTCTGTAAAGTAATAAGAGGATGTAATTGCGGTTACAACTAACACAGTAGTCAATTTTACTTTTATTCACTTTCAGTACAAATTACCGAGATATACATTTATTCAATGTTAAATTAAATGCAATGTTAAGTTTTCTTGAGAGATATTCGTACAAGTGTTCACAATATCACGCAATATAATCAGTAATTATACTTCAAACTACTAAAAACGTTAAAATACAACGCACTGCAAAGCGCATCTCAAGAGAAAGCTAACTCGGATTTCTCAATTCACGCGGAAATAGCTCGCAACAGTAACTAATCAATTGAACTCAGACGCTCTCTTTTTGGCCTTTTATAAATTTCAACCGGTCGCGAGATATTTCTAGTACTTCTGTTTATCGAAATTGCTGGAAAGCAATAAGAGGATGGAATTATGGTTACAGCTAACATAGTGGTCAATTATATTTATTCAGTTTCAAATAAATTACCGAGATATTCATTTATTCAATGTTAAATGCACGTGTTCCTGTATTTTTACTTTTCTGGCCTAGCTTTCTCTTAAAATTTGTCTCGCGCTGCATTGCGCGGGGAAATACAACAATTTTAATCATAATAATTCTACTAAGATTATCTATGTGAATACAAAATTCGTAACAATATTATCATACAAAAGTAGCGCAGCGAACAGGCCAGTCATTTGGAACTCACATATGTAGTTTACGTCTATTGTCATGAAACGTAAAGAAACACAAACTATCTATTAGTCCTGACGATGTTAAGTTTTGATGCATGAAATCACTATAATTTTCAATGTGCTGAACCAAACATAAAACAACTCTGAAATTATTTTTCTTTGCTAATCTATCCTTCATTATATTTGGTTGTTCTATCCTCTTTTGCATGCCGCTTCTTTGCAAGTCATTAACAACTGGAATAATTTAGAGGATACTAGAAATGAGCGAAAGTAATATGTAGTGAATCAAGGCCCAATCATTCTGAAATGATCATTAAAAGTTGGAATGGGTTTCAATAAATCAGAGATGCTTCTTAATTAATAACAGCTTTGTAGTGTTGTAAAGCATGTGCACATGCTTTACAACACTACAAAGCACAGAATCACAGAAATTAAAGATAACAGCTTTGTTGTGTTGTAAAACATGTGCACATACTGAATTTTCTCCTTCCGTTGGAAGCAATAGCTGACGGACATAGAGACATTGTTGTTGTAATGTGAATTCATTCATGGCTATTTCCAGTATGATGATGAAGAGCATTCCAAATGATCGTGAAACGAATCACCTATCGTCGATGGTTTTACGACAGGACTTAGCCCTTCATGTGAACACTATTAAAATATTCTTGGACACAATGGAACAAAATTTACGACCCATGAATCCAGCATTTCCAGTATTAACAACACTGGAAAACTTGTGAGAAGTAATTTCTTCAGAATAATATTGCTAATAAGACATGCATCTTCTGGTTACGATGACTCATTGCTGAAAGCCTGAAATTGATAATAGGATAAATAACTTTGTGATCATTACTACCTATCACATAATTCTGAAAGTGTGCGTATATACATACATTGGCCAAGTTTTTGATATAAACTGATGACTTATTGCAAACACAATATAAACTTAAATGCAAAGTAGGCAGAAAAAAATACCAATGCTGTCGAATGCATGGGCAAATTCGTGACCTATCACCGCTCCGAATCCTCCGTAGTTCACATACCTATAAAATAAACTTTCTTTAAATTAAAAAGCGTATAAAAGTAATGTATTACAATTGAGAAAGTTTGCGAATTAAAAACAATTTAAAAATAAAGCTGTTAGTTCTATCTCTGAAATATTTTTAAAGTTTACATTACAAGTTTTCTAAAAACTTTGACGAGTCTATTCTTACAAGTTTTTTAAAAACTTTGACGAGACTTAAACATGCACAGAGAACACCAGAAAATATGAGACAATGTTACACGGTATATTCGAAAGGTAAGAGGAAACAAAATGCCCTTGGAATAGTGACGTTACTACCTGCAAGCTGAAGGAAGAGCCACACGTCATGTATTCTTGATGATGTTCTGTCTGTAGATCGCCAGATTTGAAACTCATCGATTGCATCTTATGCGGCCATGTAAAACCAGATGAGTCAGAAGACCTCTTCAGGGTCATTCCAACCATGGTAACCACAGCTGCGGAAAAAGAGCCCCTAATTATTTTTTGTTCCTTATTTCGTCTGCTTTCAGTGTATTTCGCTTAGTGAAAAGTGTACAGTTGAAAGTTGAATTGAATGACTGTCGCAAACATGGAAGTAAGAATAAAAAGAGGCTCCAGCTCCGTACCACGACTGAAGCAGTGATTCCAAGCTTTGGTCTCCAGAGGGGGTGTTTTTTGTTTACATCCTGAGCATCATTGATTAGCGCTTTGATAGTATTTCCACACACGACAGATCCACACAAATCGAAAAGCGGAAACACTTCCGCATAAAAGAAACATTCATTGTTGGATATATAATAGCAATTTGTATAATTTTTAGTGGCATTTACGCAAAAATCACATCTTGGTTAGTTTTCGATAACTTGCAGCATCGATTTTGGTTATCAGTTTGTTTTATAAAATTCTAAGCTTCTGGACTGCAAAAGTATAGATTTTAACAAAAATATTATGCTTAAAGAATGAAAAATACCTTAAGGTACCTTTAAAATATCAAAATATCTCAAAAATGTAATACACATTAAACCTCAATTTCCCTATAATATTTCTTTCGCTACCCTTGATAGAGTATTCGCTACTTTTATTTTATGTTCCAAATATCAAAATGTTATAAATAAAGTACATTCTTGGCATCAAATAATATTGTAACATGTACGATTTTAAAATATTTAGGGAAGAGGCTTAATAGTTTATCATCTTTCTTCCAACCTTCGTCTGGCTTTTAAATGTACCGGAAAAATGGCTGAAGGGAACATCAAACGTTAAATTTAAAAACTGCGTAGAATTTTACTCTGCAGAACAACTTCATAAAAAAAGTTATTACGTATAACAAAATTATAATGAAATAAGCAATATCCCTTAATACAAATATTAATTATCCTAATAAATAAATTAACCAACTTCCCTTTGCAAAATCTTAAGAACTGTAATGGTATAAAGGAGGTTAAGAACTTTGTTTCCTAAAAGAATCACTCAAAACTTTTCAATATCTTAAAAACAGTGAAATGAGCAATAAATAACATAAAAGAATACAAAAAACAAAAAATTCTGAAAAGCAAAGTATAATTAATGATATTTTATCTTATATTTTCAAGAGAAAAAATTACAATGAAATAAACTATATCCCTTAATACAAATATTAATTATCTTAATAAAAAAATTAACCAACTTTCCGTTGAAGAAAAAATATCATGCAAAACGTTCCAATATCTTATAAACAGTGAAATAAGCAAAAAATAACATGAAAGAAACTTAAAAAACAAAAAATTCCGCGCAGAACGTTACTGCAAAACAACTTTATATCTATATCTATATCTATATCTATATCTATCTATCTACATATATATATTAAAAAATCAATAAAAATGTACTATATATATAAAAGAATGACAATAAAATATGCCAATCTCTTAAAAACAGTGACATAAAAAATACGATGAAAAATTGTTGCCAAACCCATATTTCTAAAAGAATGAAACTATTCAAAATGATGCGATTTCATCAAAAATCTATCAACAACAATAAGAAAGGAAAATTGTTGCCAAAATCACATTTTTAAAGATGTGAGATGTGAGAAGTGTACTCGGAAGCTTCATTTAAAATTTTTTTAAAAATACAAAATATTATCATTTTTCCAAAATTCGTTTTGTAAAAGCAGTTGCAAGGATAAAAGTTTAACGTGTCCAAAAATCAAAGAAAAATAAATTATACATTTTTAAAAATAAACTTTTTTAGGAAAAATCCCGTTGAAAAGGTGTTAAGCTCACTTTGTTAAATAAATTCGTATTTAATCGATTTATTGAAACACGAAATTTATTTTAAGTTCGTAAAATAGCTAAGTGCCTACTTTTCATGACGATGGGAAAATGGAGTATGTAGAGTAAAATCTCGCTTTCCCATAGCCCATGTCTCAAAATGACGCGATTTCGTCACAAAACATAAAATTTAAAAAAATTCGAATTCGAATTTCGGAAAAATCGCTTCGAGGTGCACTGGCTCTTGTCTAGATGCACCGGATGAACTTGTTAAATACGCTGATGAAAAACTGGATTGTGAATGAAATGACATAGTATTGAATGAAACGATTGAACTCAAGGATTATATAAAAATTCGAGATTATGTGAATGCAACTCGTGCTGAGAGTCGAGTGATCGATAGTGCATTTTCTGTGTTTCCACCGGATAAGATGCCGCCTGCCATGAAAAAATACCAGAAAATGAGGACTATTTATGAAGGACTTTTGTCGTTATTTCAAGGTAAGTGCAAAGCATTTGGTGAATTACATCCTGATATTGTTTAAACTTAATTATTGTCAACTAATTTATAAATTGGGTGAAGAATTTACCCTAATGCAAGTATTTCTGATGGTAATGCACAGGTTATGACTTCTAAGCGTAAACGACTGTCAAAGAAATCGAGTAAACGACCACTTAAGCAAAGTACAGATGCTGATGGCTTTACTTTGCCGAAAAAAACGGCCAGACCATCTAAATTCTTAAAGAATAACATTGAAATTCTTCTCAGTGACAAGTTTGATGAATTACCAAAGGATATTTCTGACAGCACTGAGTGTAATATGGATGTTGAAAATGTTGCTCCTATTGTTAAGCCATAATGGCAAAACCATCTATTAAATACTCAGACTGTATGAAAATTATGAAGCAAGAAGTTAAGGTCTAAGTTTCGCGGGCAGGGTTTGGGGGATTTTTTGAAAATCTTCCCCAAAACAGAAGATGATCATCGAGGTATAACGAATTATCTGGACTAATGTAAAGTTGACTACTATCTGATTACCAAAAATATGAACGACCAATTAAAGTAGTAGCCAGAGGCTTTCCCAGACTGTCCGATAGATGAAATTGAACAAGAACTAAGTAACATGGGGTTCAAAGTTAGGAAAATTGCACAGATGCATAGATTAAAAACCAAGGTTCCCATGTCTCTATTCCAAATACAGTTAGAAAACATCCCAGGAGTAGAAAAGATATATGATATAAAGCATTTCTTACTTTTTATGTTGAATTTGTGGAGTACAAAATTAATGGAAGTATCGTACAGTGTTACAATTGTCAACATTTTCACCACAATTCTGAAAACTGTAAATTGCATTCTCGCTGTGTAAAGTGTGCTGGTGCACATAAAACCTCTGAATGCACTGCCAAAAGGCTGGAAGTTGTTAAGTGTTGCAACTGTCAAGAACTAGGACACGCCACCAATTTTAGGGGTTGTCCTAAGTTCCCAAAGATTAGCAAAACCAGCAGTAAATCTAATATTAACATTACTGCAAAACCTACTGCATTTAATAAGTCCGAAAGCGATAATGTGTTATCTTATGTAGATGCCACCCAACATAGGTTAAATAAATACCCTGCCAATCTTTCGTAACACCAATGATAATGGTAGTATTACCAGTAATCTTGTCTTAGGTTCCCTTGGCGAAGTTTTCAAGCTCATAAAGGAAATTATACGAGCCAGTTTCCCTTAGAAAGTCCTCCACGAAGGCATCCCTCCTCTTAGGCAGATAGATCTAGTGTGCTTTGCCATAATTAAATACACCGCACCGCACATAAAGGAAATAGGCAACTTGTTCAAAGGTTTCAATGGTCTTGCCAAAATCATTCGGAAAATCACTTCCAAGTTACCTGAAATACAATCAGCAGAGAATTCAATAGATAAACTCTTTCTGCTATTTAATTTGTTCGAAGAAATATTTATGCAGAATACTGCTAATGAGCAAAATGTCAATGCTTAACCCTTTGTTGCATCATGTCCACCCTCTAGTAGATAAAAGTTTAAATTTGTTTATTCTTCTGTAAATGCCGTAACAGATTCCATTTCTGTGTTTACTCATTCTGTATTATTAGAACATTTCAACTGTCGATCATAGATGGTTGTATAGCATCACTAAGTAAAGCATTGCTATTTGGAAAATGGCTTCTACTTCTGTTTCCAAGTTAGTACAATTTCTCATAGTAAACATTATATAATATTGCTTACGTTTTCTTATACTGCCAATTTTTTATTCATAATTAGTAATTTTAGACATTTTATTTTAAATGTCATTTTGAGAAAATTGTGGAATGGGTAGATAAAGATCTACCGAAAAGAGTGAATTGAAACCCAAATGTACTGCTTTTTAAGCCAAAACACCACTGGAAATGTTTATGTTTGGCAAGGAATTTCTAGAACATTTGATATTTAAATCCAATAGCTACAGGTTACAAAATCGTAGCAAAACGAATTCAATCACAATCGACGAAATGAAGGTATTTTGGGGGATCTGTATGTACATGTCAGTTGTAGATTTACCGTTGAGAAGATGGTAATGATCACTGCTAACAAGGCAGGAAATGATTTCAAATGCAATGACCCTAAATCGTTGGGAAGAGATTTGTATGCTGTCCACTGTAGTGAACAAACTGTAGCAATTATTTAAAACGAAATTTGAATAAATTTTTTTTTTTTAATTTTTACTAAGGTTAAGTAGAAAAAAATACAAACATTTTCGTTTAACTTCTCTAGATTATTTGTATGCAGCAAAGGGTTAAATACTATATATTATGACGAGATAATTGGTGTACTCACTTAATAAATTTTATGGGGGAGGATATTTATACGTTTAATATTTACCTATGCTGATCTTTCGCTCATATGTTATGCTTATTTCTAATAATTTATTCTACCTGTCGGCTGGCTCGTGGATCCCCTTTTAGTTTTTACCTTAAATCTCTTCATTAAATCTCTAGTGTTCCCTTATTTAAGTACCATTACCAGTGTTGTAATTCTCTTCAATTCTTAAATGACTAGTAATTCACCAAATGCTTATACTATCCTTCATGTATTTATCAAGTTCTCTTACAGTATTTCATGTCATCAGCTCGAGAGATGCTTGGCATTATCACCTTTCGGTTTTGTTTCACCCATTGATTACGTTTTTTGGCAATTTTTATGTATCTTATTCCAAATTCAACCACCACTGATTTTTTAAATCTCTATTTTCAACTTATGGCTTATCAACATTAAAAGACACACAAGTATTCGATTAGGGGTAGGGCCTTCGGCCGAGGCACCCTGGCGCAAGCGCCTCCTCCATCGTGAAACAAAATGGCATTTGTATTAAATAACAATATAAAAAAAAATTAAGAACAAACTGAGCACTGATCTGAAAGAGCTAATTTTTGAAATTTACCTAGTATCAGGAGAGATTCATAAGTGAAAAATTCTAATAGACTTAATGCACAACAATCCATAATCCCTAATGAACAATAAACGATTGAAGCACTATAATTTTAATGTGATTTACCAAACTGCCAAAGCAAAGTTTTTGATTTTGCAAAACTGTTTAAGTCTCTTATAAAGACTTTATTTTATACTAATCAATAATTTTTATTTTAAGAAACTTTCCTTTTCCTTCTAATTTCAATTTCTTGCCAGAATGCAAATTTAAATGACGTATATGCAAAATCTCAGTGAGTTCGGAAATAGTGTTTAAGTAGAATTGAAGAATTTGTACTAGAAGAGTTAGTTATAAATTCTGTAAATAGGTCGAAGTAATAGTGCGGTTAGAATTGCCGCTGACAGCATGTAAATTTATGCGGAAAGAAATTCACTTGTTATAACGGTGCATAGTAATTTCAGTTTGTCTTATACATAGTTCAAAATCTGAATTTTGTTTTAGCTTTTGATCTGTAAGTTACTTTACATACTTAGCAGAAATGAATTGGAAAAGAATTCTCATGCCTTTTCAAAAAGGTCTGAAATGTTCGGAGCTTTGTGAAATTGGATAATGGTGTTATATACTCACTCAGAGCTATTCTTGGGACTAAAAGCTGGAGTAATGCTTAATAAATAATGGCATTACAAAAACACTTTTAAGTCATTTATCTGTTAAATAGTGTTTATATTTTCTTTTCTTTGTGAGTTTTTAATATTTTATAAACTTTGAAAAGCTAATAAAAATGTTTTTGATGCAAAATTCTCGCTTTTTCATGAAAGTCAAACATGAAGATTTTTTACAATGAAACTAATGGTAACTTTTGTAAATATATTTTTAGTCACCTTAAAAATATTTTTCTTACTTTTAATATTTATTAGAAATATGCTATTGAATATCACTTTTTTAACTCTGTTTTCTAGAAAATACTAGAAGATAATTATTATATATAATTTAAAGTTTTGAAATACTGAACAGAAGATTTCATAGAAATTTTTTTAAAAAATAAATCTACAAAATTAATATATCTATTTTTAGTATCTGGTAGATGTAAAAATGAATAAAAAGAGTAGGAAATAATACAAAAATTAATAAAATTTCCTTTTATTTATATGGGTTTCAGTAATTCTCCAGAAAGATATTAATATCCATTACTAATAACACAAAATATGTAAACATTAGACGAAACTCCCGCTTTCAAATCTGAGACGAAGGAAGTTAACGCATTCTGCCGAACAGCTGCGATCATTTCCTGCCTGTGCACGAAGTTATGGGGGGGGGTCTCCTTGTCGTGACATCACTTTTCAGTGAGAAGGCCTTCTTAACTCTCGGTGGTGTCGGTGAGACACTGCTTCAAATCAGTGCATGGGAAAATCCACTTAGGGCCTCTCCATGGTCGCAAACGAGGGGGAGAAAATAAGTATCGTGGACAAATGGATGCAAATAACGGAGAGACGGAAAGGGCTTGAAATACCTATTTTAAAGTAGCAGACTGTCCCTAATGGTGTCGCTTCATTCGCCTGGCTGGAAAGAACATCACGTGGAAATCCCATATCTCTTGAAAGATGTAGTGTACCAAAGTCATTCCAAAGGCATTTTGTTTCTTCCACCCTTCTGAATATGCCATATTACATTACTGCACATTTTCTGAATATCCTGAATATTAGATGCAGAAGGTTACATTTTTCTCTCGAAAAGCGTTTAGCGTTATTTTATATTATATTGGTTTCAAAACGATTAGTTATCAAAATATTTATGAAAATGTAAGTACGTTTATTACTTATTCCTACACTCTATAGGAAAACATTCAAAATATAGTTGAACTTAGACAATTATTATTATTACTTTTTTAATATGGTACACTTTTATTTTTTAAACTAAAAAACAGAATACTATATATTCATGCTTTACCCTGGCTTTCCAGATGAAATGATTGAGTCTTGCAAAAGTCCCAAAGGAATAACTATATAAAAAAAATATTAAACTTAACCAAGAAATGGATAAATATTCTAAAAATATTAGCATAAATTCGATTTCTGTATAAAGTCATTTTTGTTATTCCATTACAGAAAATACGATATAAAATAATATTACAGTGCCTTTAAAAAATTTCTTTTGCTATAAAACCATTAAGCGGAAGAGAAACACAAGTCAAATTTAAAATTTGGAAAAAAGAAGAGGGACAGGGACTTCTGTCTGATCACCTTCGAAATCCATAGTTTTTTTTTTTTTTTTTTTTTTTTTTTTTTTTAATCTGCGATTTTCGGTCAAAATTTCGATTTTTACTTTATTACATTTTATTAAAGAATACATCTTTAGCTATCAAATACAGGTTTATGCTTGTTGATGGTTAATTAGAACTGAAGTTACAAGCATTTACCTGTAACGGAACAACAAATTAATTGACATACTATTTAGAAATTTTTTAAATTGACATACCTATTTAGAAACCTTATTTATCATCAAGATTTTGTAAATTATAAACCTTCGTATTAAGTGAGATATTTTGTAATACATTCTAAGAATCTGGCGTTAGTTTTTTTCCCTTATTTCGTATATAGTTTGGAGCAGAGAGTATTCGACGTTGAATGGATGTGTTGCTGCTTTGTCGATTAGCTTAGACAAAGTGCTTGATTTGAAAGCTATGCACATTTTTGCATCATTTGCAACAAAATAAAAAAAATGGAATGCAATCTTCAGCACGACATATGTAAAGCGCAACATAATTGTTCTGCAAATTATAAAGAAGCAGCTACAGGTATGGAAGCAATTGGTGCTTATCCGCTTTTTGAATGATCTATTAAATTACGAAAGCTGAAGTACACGGAGTATTATGAGGATGGGGATTTAAAGGGTTTTTTAATTGTAAAAGATATATATGGTAAAGATTCGGTAAAGAAACTGGAATGCATTGGACATGTACAGAAAAGGGTTGGTAGTCAACTACGAAAAGTAAGAAACTTCACTCTTGGGTTGAAAGGAAAAGGTAAACTGACTGATTCTTTTATTGATAAACTGCAGAATTAGGGATTGCAATTAGAAGTAATGTTGGAAACGTAATTGAGATACAACAGGCTGTACTAGCTTCTTGTTCCATCGTAGCTCTTCTTGGAAGCCAATGCCCTCCTCAATCAACGAGTTGGTGCAGCTATGAACGTGCGATTGCAGAAAAGAAAAAAAATCAGCCAAAAACCTCTGGTATATCAACATATATTTTGAGTTTAATTAAACCTACATATATGGAGTTGTCTACATAAACAAGAGTTATTAAAAAGTGGATACATGGCAAAACACAAAATATCATGGAACGTTTTAATGGCATTTTATTGCAAATTGTTCCAAAAGAAATATTCATAAACTTGCGAACATTAATGTTGAGCAAGTGTAAGAGTTGTGTTATTTAATGTTATTTAATGATGGATTTATAGGTTTGCTTGAAGAATTTTCAAGGTTAGGTATGTGCCCTGAATTTTACTGAGCAGGGAATTCGAAATCTTGATAAAGTGCAAAGTCATGCTCAAAATTATGACTCTTGGTGGCATTCCACAAGTTTTACAAAACCCAAAAATAAAAAATCACACTTTGTTCGAAAAAAAAAGTGCAATATGTGTGAAAAAAGAACGTGTCAATAACAAAGCAGGGGAATTTTAGTTATCAGAGATGCTTCTTTCACTAAGAAATCGTTTTGAAACTTGAAACTTGTTTCCTGAAAAATGTTTTTTTTTTTTTTTTTTTTTTTTTTTTTTTTCTGTAAATATTGCCAATGGTAACAGCCATAACTCAAAATTTTATGGATAAAATTAAATGATACTTTATATATGTGTTTCATATAATCTGATGCATGCTCTGAAGCAGAAGATTTTAGAAATATTAATTAGAAGTTGAATTGTTACTTTTTATTTTTAGATTTTGAAATGTAATTATAGGAAAATATACAGTAAATACTATACACTTTGACATATTTCAAGCATATAAGAATATTTCTTAATTATTTTGATTCATTGCATACAAAACAAGTGTAAATATAAATACAAATAAAAAAAACTGCATATTTATGTATACATTGTTCACTATGATTGTTGCCTTAGAGGCAAAATTTAAGCAAAATTATTCTTTTTTCATTATTTTTCAAAATTAAAATTATTTAACGTTACGTTTTAAGCACTCAATAATATGCTCAATAATATGCTTATCTTCAAATTAATATGTTTATAGTTAAAATAAAAACCATTTTTTAAAAAAATGGTACTCGAACGAGGTCGGATACCTTTTAAAAAGTCAAGGAATTTTTTCTGTTCTATTAATTTAACTATTCTGGTTGCAGTTATAAAGTAACTCCATATGTCATTTTAAAAGTAAAAGCGTTCTTGTGTCACCACTAGTCTCACTGATTTTGAATCCAGATGGTTTAAAAAGCTGGTTAAACAAACGAGAAAAATTTCTGTCGACTAAATTAATAAACGGAATTGAAAACGTACAAACTTTCTTAAAACCACTTAGACTCTCAAGGTTTGAGTTAGAACCCCATAAGTTATCTTCAAACTCTTCTACAATTCCTCTTAATCTCTTGTTTAATGAAAAGAATGTGGAAAATATGCTGCGCCTAAGGCTCCGCATTATCTTAATCGAGTCCTGATCATACACTAAAATTTTGGCCTGCAATACTGAACTCAGTTTTCTATTAGCCATGAATATAATTTAAAATAAGTTTTTTCATAACTAAAAATTTCTTACCAATTGAATTTTCCGATGGATGGTAAAATGCATTCGCCGCTAAAAGATTAATATCGGTCCATCTGCGACAAAAGAAAAGTTTGTGGATTAGGTATATTGAAAAGTAAGGTTAGGTTCGTTTCATCTAGGAATATGTTCTAAAACAGTTCTGAGAAGGATTGAAAAATTACCTACTGTATATTCCGGCGTATAAGGCGCACTTTTAATACAAAAAATAAGATCGAAATTTACGGGTGCGCGCTATACGCCGGATATAAAAATAAGGAAAAGATGAGCATACAACAATTTGATTTGTACATGTACACTGAGGGGAAAAAAGGGGGGGGGACAGTTCTGTATCTCCCGTTCTACTCGGACGATTAACGAAATTCAAATTGCGTTTTCCATGTCTCGAAAGCGCGATTTAGGATATGTATTAGATTATATATAGCATTGTTCTAATATAGGTATTTTGACACAAAATAGGACTTTTTCTGAAACGATACGCAAATTTTTTTTTCCATATTTCGATTCTCTCAAACTATGCCAAACTGCCAAGTTTTGTAAAAATAGTACGAATACTTTTTAAAAAATTAGCCCGCACAAGTTTATCTCTTCAGTGTTAATTCAATTTGATATGTATTTATTAATATCTCTTTTTTTTATTATACTTACTCAATTCCTTCTTTTACAGTTCGAAATTTGAGTTCATTCCAAATAAAATTCACCCATTTTTTATGATTTAGTTTTAAAATTTGTATTTTAAAATAATTAAAAAAAATTTTTGGAAAAAAATTTTGAATTATAAACTATAAAATTTTTACCATTGTTTCGCACCAAATTTTGCAATATTTAATATTTAGGCATAGTCTGAGTCGTAGAATCGAAATATGGAAAAAAATTGGTATGCCATTTCAGGAAAAGTCCAATTTTGTGTAAAAATCCCTATATTAGAACGATGCTATATATAAATTTAATATATATCCTACGTCGCGCTTTCGAGACATGAAAAACGCAATTTGAATTTCGTCAATCGGCCCAGTAGAACGGGAGATATAGGAACTGTCCCATTTCTTTTTCTTTTTTTTTTTTTTTTCTTTTTTTCCCTCGCAGTGTACCTAAACGTTGTTCATTTAAAAGAAATGACATACAGGGGTTGGACAAAAATATGGAAACACCTTTAAAAAACATGTTTCTTTGCTTAATATGGTGTAGGAAACCCGTTGGCATCCAAAACAGCTTGCAGTCTTCTCGGAATGAATAAATACAGTTCCTGTATGTTTGCCAAGGGAATATTATACCATTCTTCCTGCAAAACGGTGGCAAGTTCAGATAACGATGTTGGCGGTGGATAACGAGAACGCACTTTCCGTTCCAATGTAGACCACAAAGGTTCGATAATATTCAGGTCTGGTGACTGTGGTGGCCAGGGGAGATGGGACAACTCATCCTCGTGCTCAGAAAACCAGTCCTGGACAATGTGAGCTGTGTGAACAGGGGCTTTGTCGTCTTGGAAGACACCATCACCATCGGGGAACAAAGTTTGTACCATGGGATGAACTTGATCGGCCAAAATGTTCACATAAGTCTTGGCAGTCATGTGCCCTGACACAGTTATCATGGTGCTAGCAGAGAACCACGATATGGCTGCCCAAACCAGAACAGAACCCCCGCCATGTTTCACTCTTGGCAACAAACAGTCTGTATTATAGGCTTGAGATGGCGTTCTCCAGACATAAACTCGGCTAGAAGTGGGAAACAATGTGAAAGAAGACTCGTCAGACCATATTACTCGCTTCCACTGCTCTATAGTCCAGGCTTTATGACTTAAACACCACCTTTTCCTGTTACGGGCATTAGCATCACTGATGAGTGGCTTCTCAATTGCAGCACGGCCAGCAATTCCCTGTTTATGAAGCTCCCTTCTAATTGTTTTGGTACTCACAAGGTTCGGTAACACAACATTCATTTCAGCAGTAACTTTTGCAGCTGTGGTCTTCTTATTTTTCGTCACAATTGCCCTTAATGATCGTCTGTCGCAATCACCCAGGACACACTTTCGTCCGCGCTGTGATTTAGCAGATGATGTTTTTCCGCTTTTCAAATATGCGGAATAAATCTTCGATACAGTACCTCTTGAAACACTAAACACCTCGGCTACCTTGCTTACGGAAGCACCTACCATACGTGCTCCAACAATTTGCCCACGTTCGAAGTCTGTTAACTCTGACATAATGCAATGAAAACCTCACATAACAGTACTCCGACAACAACTGAACTGTTTAGCACATTTACGAAGTTGTATAGGTGGCGTCAGTATTCAAAAACGCCAGCGCCACCTACATATTTCATTAAAATCAATATTTCTTTTCAAACATGCATTTCACAAAGTGTTTCCATATTTTTGTCCATCCACTGTATCTTATAAACTTAAAAATTCTCATTAACGGATAACATGAAAAGTTCGTCATATTCGTCTTCGTTATATCTTTAGGTAGGCACATCATCGGATTCTGTTTCTTCTTCACCTGCACTATTACTCTGATACATAAATAAATAATCATGATCTCTTCGATCTAAATTGATAGATAATGACTTGATTTATGTAGGGTTTAATTTCATTCCATGCTTTTATTCTTCAGTCATATACTATTTCTAGATTGAAGTGACCCATTTGGCCTTCTTTAAAATCCATATATTCCACAGTCGTGAGTTTTCTTTGAATAGTTCTCAGACACACAGGATTGAAATAATACTGTTAATCGACCTGAAATAACTTCCATGCCTGTATTACACTTTCAACAATTTCTTCGTATTATTCGTTCCCGAACTAAAAGACTTTCTGCATTCTTTAAAACATTTCTTATCCTCAATTTCACACCATCTTTGTCCATTCATCCTTTCTTGCAGACATGAATGAAAACACTATTTGGTAAATCACATTTCGACATCATCTTTCTTTTAAAAACAACCATGGGTTTTAAATTTGTACCGTCCGCTAAGCACGGAAGCACTACGGTGAGGTGAGATATTTTGGGACCTGTTGTTTTTATGTGAACCATTTTTGTTCCTTTCACATGAATTATTTTATTTCCTCTCATACTGAACACTACGGGGTTTTATTCATATTTCCATTTTGTGATGGTAAATAACTTTTTACCATCACAAAATGGAAATATGTGAATGCCTTCATAGGTCAATAACATACTTCTGAAAACATCGATTTGTTGTCCAAATATTTCGGAAGTCTTTGCAGAACTTTTGTTTTTTCTCTTAGAACTTTTTTCGTGCCATAAACTTACATTATTCTGTGCCATAAATTGCCTACACCAACTCATAGTTGCTTTGGAATTTTCACATTCATTTTTGCGGATTTTAAGGCAAAACAAAAACTTACGCTGTTTCTTTTTACAATTAAACGGTATAATTCATAACATTGTTTCTCGAGCATTTTCTTGATTTTGTAGCGATCTTAAAATTGCGTTAAATGTTTCTTTTATTACCATTTTCTTACTTTTTTTTAATTAAAATCCTACTAAAATGAAAATTTTAAATAACCATGCAGTAAGCAAACCTAAATTCTCCTCTTTCATTTAAGGGATCAAATTTTATATTTCAACAATAATTATCTTTTTTTGTCTCGTTCGTTCTAAATGCTTCTTCTTTTCATTACATTCGTCTGTTTTATTCTCACATCACGATTAACTTCACCTACTTAGGATTTAAATAATCAATAAACAATCGCTCAAAATAGGAATTCCCAACCCTTTTCTGCATGGTTTTAAATGAATGTTTTTTTTTTCCTTCGACCCCCTTTCATTTTTCTCTATAAAAGGAAAACATGTATTATGATGACATGGAGCATAATGATAATACAAACAATTACGTATAAATAGCTTAAAGATAAAAACTAGACTAAGAATACGAAAAAAAATTGTGAAGTATGTTTATTATGTTTATATTTAGTTATTTTTTGTATTATTATAATTTTTGATTTTACAAATGTAAACAGGTTTTCAGAAATTAAATCACAGATTCTAATTGCACAGAAGTTCGATTATACTTATTGTGATACCTGCGCTTGATATACTGATGGAAATTTTGTTTAATATTACGTATAAAATTGCATAACTTAACTCTTAAATCACCTCGTTCAAAACTATTCAACTTGATTCTTGCTTACTTTAGTAAATTAGTTATTGACTTCACCATGTAACATAAAAGGTAGCCGATAACTTTTAATTTTGGATATTAGTCTCGGATGACATTTAAATTCCAAACTTGCCTAACCCAGATATTTTGAACCATTTTGCTGTGCTCCATTAGTTTTTGGTGTTCATAGCTTTTTTTTTTTCATTGCACTTATTGCTTAAAAAATATATTACTGATTTTTAAAAAATATAGTAAATACTTTTTGTATCCTTTTTGTCTTATATTTAGTATTTTATATCATTTCTTCCTTACTATATGATATAGCTTTATAGCACTAAACAATTATTTATCAATTTTATTGATACATATTTTGCAGTCAATGGGATCTTGATTATTCCGATCAGTTGTCGATGCATATTTGGCTATTGACCTCAGTCGACCCCTTGATCATTACTGACTCCATTAAAATATCATCGAGCCCGTTGGAAACCCCTAACCTAAAGTATGCAAGATGTTTGGAAAAAAATATTACGATCTTAATTTATTATTTTTGGTTTTAGACATGCATATCCAGTTAATTAATATGAAACAAAGTGAAAAAATGCTTTCACCGTGGCAGGGTTTAAAATATGTATATAAGATGAAACTTTTGAGTCTGATATACATGATGATGATGAAATCTGGATGTTTTATTTAAAAGGCAGTCGTCGCCTGTTAAACATTTCCTTAAGCATGGTATAATCGTCCACTAAATATGCATAGCTAAATCGGAGCGAGACGCGCCCTCGGTGTTCTGTAATAATTAGCTTAGTTTTCTGATATTCACAGATTAATTACCGATAGAAGAGAAACGGAGGCCAGCTTCTTAGTAGCACAGAGAAGTGTGAAAAGAGCGTAAGATACTGACGGTCACAGAACGTTTCGCAGATGTAGACATCGGTGCAATACATCTATGGTAAAAAAAAGGATTAGGAATGATTCCATAAAACACAAGAATGAATTTATTGGTCAACAGTTACCTTCGACATGCATCTGTTTCCCTATTTTCGAAATATGTCGTAAAACTTGTTCAAGATTCGGAGTAAGTTTTCTTTTAATAGAATAGAATTCAAATGGTGATCACAAAGTCGTATATGTTGAGTTTTGGGGTAAAAATCCAGGAACAATAAGAGAATTCTGAGGAGAATTCTGAGCAGGTGCATTATGGTGATGCAAAATCTGCAAGTTAAATCGCTACATATCAAGTCATTTTATATAAATTGTTTTATGCAAACGCCGCAAAGCACACAAATAGTATTCTTTGTTAAAAGTTTGGCCAGAGTTGAAATTGACGATGCAGAAAACTTTGGCAGTCAAAAAAGTAATCAAAGGAAACAGTCAACATTTCCATGCTAATTGACTGACTGTTACCTAGGTTTTTATAATCTTTTGTTTCGCCCTTCCAATTTTAGTCACTTGATTATTCAACTGCTTTTTTGTTATCAAAAGAGTATGTATGTCCCATTTTCATCATTGATAATAATGCATTGAAGGTGGTTTAGATTACTTGAATCAAGTGGAAACTAAGAAGCAACACGTCTCCAAGAACTGCTTAACAGAATTTAAGTAATATAGTAGGAATGGCGAACTAGTCGATCGATAATAGCCGACAGGAGTCGATATCAACACATAAACGCAACTTAGTTGTAATTTATAGAAACAAACGGACGTGACTTCTTTAGTGTCAATGTACCATTGTGTTAGCATTTCTAGACAAATTTCAGTTTCCCTTAATATTAAATTAATGCTATGCAAGAAATGTAAGTACGTTCTTTCAATGCTTTTAATTAAAATTTTCTATTCGTAAACTTCTTTTACATTTTAACACTTATTAAAATAAGTAATAAACCAAAAAAAAAAAAAAAATCGAAAACCACTTCCCCAAAGAACGGAAACTTGGTTATTCGTTCAGAACGATAAATAATTAATCTTGCAATGCCTGCGAAGCTATTACTAAAAAGGGTAATCCGGCGAAGCATTTTCTAACTTTATATAACAATATTAAACAGATTATCCACAAAACAGTGACCTGAAAAATACATCTAGGGCTTATTAGGTTTAATTAAGAAAGAGCTCAACAAAATGTTTGTAAAAAGTCTTTGCTGAAATTATTTACAGTGACTACTGCATCATTAAAAGCAAGCCATATTTTATAAAAAATGTGTAAACTATTTTCTGACTGAGAATTCATGAAAAAAGAACTCCCTGGGAAACGCAAGATTCACCTTTTAATGATGCAGCTCTTTTAAAACATTTCTCGCTAATTTGAATTTACCACTTTTAAAATTAGTTTCAGTAACAACAGTTAGATTAAGATCAATGGTGGGTCGCATAAATGGATTTATAACTCGATAACGAAATGAGACGAATCCCTAAGTTTTTACACTTACTACTGCATAATTTACCCGAAACATGTTAGCCAAATCTTCAGCAAAGGAATCTGAATCATTTTTTAAATTCACTTGAAAAATCTCTGTGTGAAAAAAAAAACGTTGCAGAAATTTAAAATGAGAATGATGCTCTGGTGTCAGATTCCAGTCTGATTTTGAGAAAGTTATTGCCCAGTATCTGTCTTTTCCTCCTAAAAAGGATATAATTGCCACAAAATTTTCTGACACAGTTAATACTCGAGAAAAAAGCACGTTAGAAATTGAAGTTGTAATTCTACGAACTGATCTAACAAGCGAGAGGACGATTTTTGAAATCACATCAATCGAAAAATGTAAACAATTATGACCAAATGTAGTGAATACATCCACTCATGTTTTGGATCTATATACTACTTATGCAAATTTCTTTTTCTATACTTTATATTCAAGTTCACGAAGACTTAACATCGTTCTCTAATTACTGATTCTCATATTGAAGATTCAGTATCATTATCTTTGCCTGGATGCGCGCAAAATTTTGAACGCTAGGTTGGATACATGCAAACACGGACTTTCCATTAACAATAAGATTATAAAATAAAATTTAATCTGTATTTTTTGTGTGGCTACTTCTTAATTAATACATGTTATTAATTAATATATCGTATTGGTTTAATATACCCCTCTCCAGTACTGTTACTTATTAGTACACATGACACAAGTTTGAATGCGTTAAATATGAACAGATTTTTAAAGAAAAATGTTAAACATATACATGGAAGTTGGTTACCCCTATGATAAACGAATTTATTCATTAATATCCTTAACTGGTGAACGAAGTTTGCTACATGCGGTTTCTCTCACTTGTGTTGTCCTTTCAAACCTTTTAAATCATGGTTCATTTTAGAAGAGTTCTCTGCCTTTTTTAAACATCTTATACCGCTCGAAAACTTTCGTTTTTGAAGAAATATTGCAAAGGCTCAGTTACGTTCTTCCAACTCTCCAAAATCCTCAGAGTAGAAATTCTTTATTCATTCAAATTGAATTTATTTGCAAACGATAAAAGGAAATGAGAGATGAATTGTTACTCAGATGTCAATGAAAGTCGCAGTAACGTTTGAAAAATTTCTGCAAGCGATTTTTTGTACGTGCGTATTTTAAATGAATCATTCCCGATATCTTTTGATCATATGGTGTAAAAAATGTAAATCCGATTAAACTTATGTGCTTTTTCAAAATTAAACGCTGAACGCTGAACGCTTGTTACATTCCCTTCCCCCGAAATTATAAAATTCTCCTCGAATTTTTTTGAATTACGGAAAACAAATTTTAATGTAGGTAGTTCATTAAAACTGGGACGTAAAATGTTGGATATCTCTAGTTAGCTTTTGTATGGTTTTAGTCAGATATGCAGCAATCGGCAACCCGCAAAAGTTTTATTTTAGAAATCTAAAGTTATTATTGTCATTCAGAAATCCTTTCCTTTTTGTATTCATATAAATAAGATTATATTATGAGTAATTACATAAAGGACAGTTTAAACAAGCAAACAGGCACACGGAACACTCACATATGCACAGGGCACATTTTACATAAGCTTCTTACTTGTGCCTTTCATGTATTTTATGCAGTCCTTCCAGAGTTCTTTGCATTTTGAATGCATTGACGACTTTAAAATTCTTGAAATGATTTGTTCCAATTCCTATCTGTACAAAGAAAAATTGAGCTTTCTAAACAATAAAGAAATTACCGTAAAACTTAAATGAAATTTCCAGTGTAGACTTACGGGAGCATAGAATTCATTCAATGCCTTTTCATTCTCCATTTCTGCTTCGTATCCAATAGTGAATTTTTTCTTCAGCACCTAAATCGGAAAAGTGCACGTATTATGACACTATACTCATTAGTACTTTTCAAGGGTAAATTTACACCGCGTATTTAAATCGCTGGTACAGTTTTACAATGTTGGCATCTGTCCGTGGTGAGTGTGAAATGCAATCGCTGCTGAATATGCCGTTAGGAATCGAATTTTCAGCTACGAGATCATGCAAAAAGTTAGATTTTATTTTTATAGATTCTCCCAACTATAGTAATGAAACCGATTTTTAGTTCTTTACTATATTTTGTGATCAGAAAATTGTGAAATTTTGTGGCGGACTTAATGAAGGGATGAGAATGTCATTCAGTGAAAAAAAATTAGTTACGAATAGTGTCACCAGAGGACGTTTTACTTTTAAAATTTGTAGTAAAAATGTAAATTTTTGTTGACGTCATGCAGCAACTGTTATAAAAACCTAGAAATGCTGGACTATGTTGTAGAGACATTATGTTAATTAGAAAAGCCAGGGAGATGAAAAATGAGCAACCGCCTTCGCCGGGAACTGAACCACGGACCTGTGGAATACCGGCCCAGTGTGCTGATCACTAAACCACGAAGGCACGCTAAGAATGTGAGAGAAATATCTTATAATGTTTTCAAAGTGCTTGTTAGTAAAACTGTTTTGAAAAAACAGTAATTCCGCAGTAGCTGCTCTACGAAAATTTCGAACATTGAAGGGGATTCTAAGAGGTCCAATGAATGTTAAAAACCTTCTTAACCATTTAACTGTGGCACCCTCGTTTAAACATGCACACCGTTTTGTGTCGCCAGAATCGAGACATGACGAGTATATTCGTCAGTCACAGAGTAAGTTGCGCTGGTAAGATATTGGATGAAAAAGATGGGTTTATTTTATAAAATTGAAAATTTTATTACTAATATTTGCTTATTTGGTTAACATAAGCATATATTACATACATATTAAACTAAAAACGCAATAAATTAAATTAATATTATACATATAAAAGTAAGAATTTAAATTCCTTATTTTTCTGGTTACTGGTTTCGCTTGTAGGCAGCTTCTTTGAAATAGGGTTCTTTAATTATAGACACCCTGTATTTATAGATGTAAAAGCTTGTAAAAACCTTTGTCGTTTATCTTGTATAAATTAATTAATTGATTTGCGTGTGACCATAAGCTTGCATGGCTTGAAAATACTTGTGGATTGTGCCATTAGTCGCTCTTTTATTGTAGAAATTTTCAAATTATGACGGATGATACTATTTTGCGTAAGCCAAGGAGCGTTGATAAAAATTTTAAGAAATTTATTTTGTAAGACCTGAAGTTATTTTACTAATTTTTATTGAAGTCCTGATTCTAGATAATTGGATTTCGATGGTGTTTGAGTGAAAAATATAACTTAATGGCGTTGTTTCTAATATAGTCATGGATATATTGGAATTTTATAGTCACGGTGGATGACAGAGCTCCTGATATACCAAGGGGGTCAACGATCATTCCGCCCCCTTCGTATTCGGGCCCCCTTGATCAACCAAGGGAGTCATGTTTTTAAGAACCTGTAGCTGGTGATCATGTTTTTAAGAACCTGTAGCTATTTAGCAGTTCGGCCTCAAATAGAAAATGCATAGAGGAGAGCAGGGCAAAGAACACACTTGTACAATATAACCTCGATTTTGATGGAGAGCTGGCTGGGGCATCCAAGAAAAGAGAACGTATTGCAAATAGTATAATTAAATTTTTCATGAACTTTCTCCGAATGATTTTTGAAAGTGAGCTTTCTGACGAGATTTACTCCAAGACAGGTAAGTGTTTCTAGTCCATTCTCATGGTTCGCCAAACACAAGGAGGGCATCCATAGCTTTATTGGAATTTCCTTTACGGATGATATTTGCGGCAAATATTTGCGTGTTGACAGCAATGCGCCATTTGGTATACCAGTCTTCAAGAGTAAGAAGTAGGCTTTGAAGGAGGGTTCTAACGTATCTGTAGTCGGCTGCTTGAGTCAAGATGGCAGTATCGTTCGCAAAAAGAGCGAGCTGAATCCTGGGATCCTGAAGGATGTCATGAGTGTAGAGATTGAAAAGGATGGGCCCACGCATACTTCCCTCTAGAACACCAGCTAGCCATTCAGTAAGTAGAAGCTACCAGATTAGGAATGCAAAAAGCAGATGATGCTTGGACACCGTACTTTTCTACAAACGATTCTTTTGATTACAATTATAGCATTTATTAATGATTATAAACTTTATCATCAGTTTTAAATTATAATTTCCTACCCAAAAATGAGCTAACAATGCCAAAAATTACCTTTCACTGTATTTGAAGAACTGACATGTGACCACGCGACTCAAATACCTTCTTTTTGAAGACGGAGTATGCATACTTTCCAATTAAGTACTTTTTTTAATGCAGATGTTTATTTTAAGCTCATCCCGAAATAACTGTCAACATTACCTTCTTTTCTTAAATGAAAGAATTAGAATGAGAAAAATGATATTTCAGTTTATTAAGGAGACTAAACACTGAAAATGTACTGCATTGTAGAAAGCACTTTATTTTTCATTATTTTTGCATCGTATCGTATGCACTTAATGTAAATAAATTTATTAAATAGAAAGTTTGAAAATAGAAATATAGAAACTGTGATAATAACATAAAAAGTATTTTGCGTTTTTTCTTTTGTTTGCACATGTATTGTTTTAATAAATTAACTTCGACATTTCGTGAGAAAATTCATTCATGAGATTTCACACACATGATCATGATTTTCAGTTTAAATTACACAGCTCAACGAAATATAGATCTAAAAGAATTTGAATCATCAAGTTCATATTTAATGAATATAAAATTTCACCGAATTTGTTAATTGCGTGTTTTTATAGTAAAGTCGCTATATAGTTAAATACTCGTTTTTAGTCCAAAGGGGCAATTTCCCTGAAGGACTGTTAATTTCGTTTTGGCATTTTGGGTTGAAAACTATAAACGGTGAATCACTTTTCAAATTGTTGCCACCAAATATTATCGCCCTGTATTACATTTAAAGAAATGAAATAATGAAGAATCTGCAGGAATGTATGCATGTTTCTCGCATTGTGATAAAACAACGGTACCTAGAGCCATCAAAATTCGAGTAACGTAATCTTCCAAAGAATATGGGCATGTGGGAGCCCTAATTTGAATTTGAAATTTGTTTTATTATCGATTTCATATTTTGTAAAACTTCAACGAGTTTTCGATTAAAAAACTAAACGATTTCAAAGTGATAAATGGCAACACTCTACGGAAAAAAACATTTTTATCTTCAGCGCGCAAGACTCTGTATCGGAAATTCTAAAGATATGCCCATTTTAAAATTATTTTGCGATATTGCTGTTGAACTGAATGTTATGGTTTGAGTACGTAGAACATGATATTTAATAAATAAAACTAACACACAAAACGTTAAAAAAACGCCCCTTTAGACGTAATTTAAAATCTTAAACCTTTCAAATTTTTTTGCACATTATTTTAGACTTTCTACGCATAATTTTTGAATGCATGAATTTATTTATGGCGCATTATTATTTAAAAGCACACTTATGATGCTTATGCACTGTTTAGATTTGTGAATAACGTTTATCCTAAGATGATTTTTTATTATTGTAGAATCATTAGGTTAAATCAGCGGAATGCCCTGGCCGGGATTCGAAATCTGGACCTCCCAGATACGCGTTGAGCGTGCTCCCAGTTACACCACCAAGCATACGGAAAAGAGGGAGAAAATACTTGTATACATCGCATTTTAAAGGGCGACTGGGGATTAGAATACTGAATCGTCAAATCCTAGTGGCGACGAATTATCATCCACCATTTGTCAGTTGAGGCCCCCTTGTACAGTCTTAGAATTTTTGATATCAGGAAATTGAAGAAATTAAGATTTCCGTCGCCGGAATTCGAACTCCGGATAAGCATGGAGGGTGCTTTCAGTTACACCACGAAGGCATGTGGAAAGAAGCCAGAAAATACTTTATGCAGTATGTGGTTTTCGATGTTTATACGTTGTTCTTCCTTCTATGGCCAAAGAATTGAAATCTCACAATAGATTTGTGTACACACACAAATAAATAAATTAATTAATTCAAAATTAAAAACTTTTTCTTGTTTTTTTTTATTACAGCTAAGCCTGTATGCTTATTAAATATTTTTAATTACTGTATTTCTGTCAGATTACTTAAAACTATTCTTGTTGTACCTCGAAATAATGCCCTTAACTATTTTATTCCTATAATTTTTGTCTAAGTCACTTGTAACACCTCCTAGACATTGCTCTCAGTTTTGCAAATTTACGAAAGTCATTTGCATTTCTCTTAATATTTTTTTAATTTGACATAAGTAAACATATTTTTTTACCTGAAAAAATCGTTCCTGAAATTTTTAACGTCATTATGCGCTTACTTGCTAATTTTTTCTTCCTCATTTTCCTAAAGATACGTAATTTTTTACAACAAGTTCAGCATAATATTTTTTCCTTCACTTTAAGTTGACTGTAACAACGTACTTAATTTCTTTCTCTCTCCTTCCCTTTTTTTTTGTACAATTTTCACATGATCCGTTTATTTACATGTGTTCATTGGACGTATACTGGTTTGCGCAGTCTATCTGATTCGTATTCTGCAGTTTTTTTTTTTTTTTTGAAAAATATGAAGCCAAATTTAGCAAAAGCTCGTTTCTTTATTTCTCAAACGTGTCTCCTGCTTTATCTTACCCTTTTCAGTATACAGTTTAATGAATCACCAGAACTTCTATATTGTATTCAGCTGAATACAATACACATAACTTACTTCTTCTCGGAAATTACTTTCTCATGATGGTGATGGATGATGTAAAGTGGGAACAGAATCAGCTTTCAGTGACCTTTTAACGTTAAGTCACGCAATTTGCTTTTAAATCCCGTATGTAATGATTTGTAAATACAAAGAGAACATATTCTCGAATTTTTAGTACTGAAATTATCTACTCTTTTGCAGCGCAAATACTTGGAAAACGATTATACGTCACTAGCAGAATGTTACAGAACTATTTACCATTTTCCACACGGTATAGTAAGAAACTGAGCTTGCTACCGCAAATCAATTAAATTATCCGCAAATCAAATAAATTAACCTACCGCGCTTGCTACTACCGCAAATCAAATAAATTAAATTATGGAGGCAATGGGTCTTCGATATTTACACCTTATTCTTCCTTCTACAATCTTTTGCAAAAAAAAATCGAAGCACCATGAAGGAAGTGGTTGTTTTTGATGAAAGTGAATATGTGTATAACTCATACACAGATAATAAAATAATTAAAAATCAAGGTCATAGTACCTGTTCAGGGCTCAAAAATCACCCACTGAGTGTTCAAATTAGTAGCTGGGCGAACCGCCCCTGGCAACAATGCATGCTTGAATTCGTCGAGGCAAGGAGTGGTAGAGGTTCCTAATGTCATCCTGCGACACATTCTGCCAGGCATTCATAAGTTGTCGCCCCAGATCTGACTTATTTTGTGGTGCCCGAATCCGGTGGCCTACCATGTTCCAGACATGCTCGATTGGTAAAAGGTCGGGTAACCTTTTTGGCTAAGGAAGAGTGTTAGCCGCACGGAGACAGTCCAGAGATATGCACGCGGTATGTGGTATGGCATTATCTTGTTGGAAAATGACCCAAGGATGACGTGCCATGAAGGGCAATGCTACCGGCCGCAGGATGGTATCAACATATCGTTGAGCTGTTAAAGATGTACGTAGGATGACTAAAGATGCCCTGCTGTCATAACAAATAGCGCCCCACACCATCACACCAGGGGTTATGGCTTTATGCCTTTGTAAAGAAAAGGCTAATGGGGATCGCTGACACCGTCTGCTCAAGATACGAACACGGTGGTCATCTGCTTCAAGAGTGAAGCGGGATTGATCGCTGAACACTATGCGATGCCAGTCTGATGGCAGCCATGATGATCGGCTGCAACACCACTCCAGACGACTCCGCCGATGTTGTGCGGTCAAAGGCAAGCGTCTTAAAGGCCTCTGTGAGCGTAACCCGGCCTTAGACAAACGGCGGGATATGGTGGACGGTACGGGAGATATAGACGTGGCTGTAATGCGTTGAATAGTCGACAATGATACCGTTGGGGCGGTTCGAGCCTGGCGAACAATCATCCTATCTTGCTTCGTATTTGTGATCTTTGGCCTCCCAGAGCCTTCATTTCGTCGGCAATTTCCTTGTAGCAAACATTGCTGCCAACATCTTTGCACAACAGTGTCTGTACGCTACATGTGGCGGTCTATTGCTTGGTATGACCACCCAGCTTCACGCAACCTTAGAACGTTCGAAGGCGTTCAGTTGTCTGTAAGGTCTTCGATATCGTTGTAATGACATCTTTAGTTGCTTCTTTACGGAATTACAATGGCACAGCAACAACAACAACAACAACAAAAAAAAAAAAAAACATTTTCTGCCTTAGCTACTGACTTTATACTTTACGAATTGCGCACTAGAAATGCGCTCTATGATCGCAATTCCTGTTCATTTGCCTTGAAACTTTGTTCATTTGCATATTCGATCAAGATGTTTTTGCATACCAAATTTCTTCACGATCGCAAAAGTCCTTCTTGGTGCTTCGATGTTTTTGAAAAAGAGTGTATATACGAAAAATTGAACTGTCGTAATAGATTTGCGTATACACACTCGCACAAAAATAAAAAAATTAAATAATTCAAAATAAAAATAAATAAATAAACTTTTACTTATTTTTAATTCCAGTTAAGCTTACGTGCATATTAAATATTTTTAATTACCACTGTCAGTTTGCTTCTTAAAAATACTTTTCTTGTAGCACTAACGACTCACGTCACAAGCGCACGCGGCTTAACTTTCTCCTTAAACTGCGCATCACCCGTGGGCCATCCTTTTACATTGACAAACATTCATACCTTCTCTGCGATGCGAACCGAGTCCATCGGTACGGCAGTCAGCGTCTCTAATCGCTATACCATCTAGGCAGATGGCTTTTGTTCATTACATATTTTATAAACGAATTTGCTTCAGTAGAACCCATTTTATCTGAACCATCTGGAGCTGAACGGTTTCGAAAAACTTGTATTCAGGTAACATACAATCAAGCTTGCTGACGAAAGGAATTAAAAAGCTGCAAGCATAATTTTTATCAATAATAAAATAATTTTTAATATGTTTCGAATGAAATGAACTTTAGAATCCCTACTATTGACTTATATTTTTATTTAAATCACAGTCGAAAGCAATATGCCTGTATAATTATATGAAAGGGTTGGAAGGGGGAAAAGTTTTTATAGCAAGACTGAAACTAGCTTAATGCGGCGATTCTCCTTTTCCGATTTTTAATTGGGCGTTTGAGGGGGCGTTTTCATTATTCGTCAGAGAATCGTAAAAAGTCTCTTGAGAAGTCTGGTAAGATTTTATAGAATTGTTTTAGTTTTAATGAAAATTTTGATGTTTTTGTTTTTAGTAATACATTCATTTTCAGTGAAATCTTTCACCACAACTCAAATTTTAATTGAAATAATTCACCAATGAATAACCTGTGCCCTTTAAAACTCATCTCAGAGGCAGAGATTTCCCAGCGAATTACTTTTGCAAGCAGATTTAATGCGAAAATTTGTTTACGTTATAAATACATATTTGCATTTTATTATTTTAGATTATGACAAAGTGCGTGATGAAAAATAGGATTAGCTTCTGGGCTTACCACTTCAGCCATAGTTAATTTTATAGTTCCGGTTTAGCTGGCTTTTACGGGATTGTGAATCAAATCAGCGGAAAAGTTACAATATCATCCTGTCGTAAAACCTTGAGTTTGATACCCTTTCTTATAACAGATTTTTGTTTTGATAATTGTCAAAGTACAAGGTGAATTAGAAATATGGCTACATATTTCATCGCATTCTTTTAACAATATTATGGCTAGGAAAAATGAGATAACGCCACTGGTAAATCATATCTTTAAACTGAAAAATAATATACAATAGCAGCAATTAGGCTAGCTTAGTTATTTCAAAAGGTCTGGCCATTTTGACCATTTCATAATAATTATCCATATTGCCGCATCCAGTGCTACAGCAAGTGCTTTCAGGAAGCTTCCTTTTCGGGTTTTTTGCTGTAGGAACCAGTCGACGGCAACAGGTCCAGGCCATGGCCAACGCTTGTGCCTGTATCGCTAGGAGTTGTTAAATGTTAAACATCGGCCCCTTTTGAGAGAAAACAACCACCGAAGGCAGTCTGAGCGCTTCCCAGCCCTCTTTCCCTGCCAGCAACCTCTCGAGAGAACTTTCCGCTCGCCGTGTATTTAGAGTGGGGTCTTGATGCACTATAAGCTTACGAACATGCATGCCTTCTAGGAGATTCGAACCTGGGTTCATAAGTAAGGTATTCAGCGTCACTAACCGCTGCACAGGAGGAGCGTCATTCGACGGCCACATTACTACAATAAAATCACATCGCCAGGCTCAGAGATTCCCGATCATTTTGCCTAGCTGCAGCTGTAATTAGCTCCTGCGTGTTCATTATCATCTTAGCTAATACGCTCGGGGACGTGACTTTTATTTTGAAAGGAAAATATGAAATTTTAAATTTAATATACTGTTCATCATTTCTCTGTGGAATGCAACCATATACTTTATTTACCAGATTGCAAAATAACCTTTTCTTTTTAAATTTTTCTGTAGTTCAAAAATATTCTTCGGCTTGAAAGCTGAATTATTAATACGGTTGATACGATAAACACTTTTTTTTAAATTTTTTTATTTTCGCTTTCGATTTCCTGTTGTCAGATTACTATCAGCGGCGGGTTATGATTGAATCAATGCGGTAATTAAATTTTGTAGCCATATTTCATTACAGCTTTACGTTTAGCTGTAAAAATTCTCCATGTCAATATCTTAAGATGGGTACATGTTAAATAATTGCTTAGTGCATACTTTTTTGATAGCTCTTTCTTTCGTTTTTCCATCCATCCATTGAGACTTTTCAATCTTTTCTATCAAAGAATTTTTTAAATCTTCAACCATTTCCTCTACCTGAAATATTTAAGTATGAATTAAATTATCTGTTAGAATCAGCATTTGAATTTAATGCGATCATAGTATACTCAAACATTCATACATATCGTCTCCGGACCAGTCTTTTACTTTAAAACAGGTACTTCAAGGCTGTTGCCAACCCTCCCCACCTGCGATTGTAATTTCATCACCGAGAAGCACTTATTTTTTCCACCTCACTTTAGAATGCAGTTCGGAAGGGGCGGTAAATATTTGAATTATAATTTAAGATTTTTCCAATTGAATTCAAATTTTAATGTACTAAAAAAGAGAGAAATATTTCATTTATCTTTAGGTTGTTTCCTTTTGTCTTTTCTATTCTGAATGGATGTGGATTCCACTTCCTTATAGAATAAGAAAATCAGAAACCCAATAGCATTTTAAACCTTCTCAGTTTGCAACGACAAATTTGTTTCTGAGCTTACTCGATGAGTGTCATAATTAACGAATTACACGAAAAGACAACGTTTCGAAGAACAGAATTAACTTTTTTTCCCCCTTCAAAAAGGAACTCGCACTTTAGAACGCTTAGGTTACTGACTAGAGTGCATACGGGAAAGGAAAGCATGAAGAAATTGAAGTGATGGCTTTGTCTAATATCTGGTTGACATTTTTCGTGGGAATCAGCTGTGGAAACAGAATGGTTTTGGAAACCAATTAGTGAAAATTTACTAAAAAATGGTAACTGAATAACTGTGCAATTTGAAAATGGCGTAGTAATTGATGTTTTGTCCTTGGGAAAAAATACAGAACGGAGAGTAAAATGGACTGTGTTACGTGTATGAGTAATTAAAATATTTTTGGTACTTTAGTATGTGACACGGTAAGTGCGAAGACATATTAATAGTGTCATTTTAAAGCGACAGACAGCGAACAGATGAACGAATTCTATTCCGACGGTTAAGTACAATAAGAGCTATATAAAAGTTTATGTAGGTACAGAAATTTCCAAACAATCAGAGAAAATGTCAGTTTTTATTTTAAAATAAAAATTGCATTTCTGATAAGGTTCTTGTTATTTTTATTTTTCAAGTTTAAGCTTTAAATGTGTACTTCCTGTCAACGAATGGTTTGTTAGAAGTAGCATAGAATCACACTGGCATACTGCTCATAGTACCCAATATCACTTAAAGCACTGAATTTCCTTCTTAGGCCACTGTAAATTAAACTTCTATAACAATCTCCTACATACAGATCTCGTTTTTTCAGAGCTTACACAAGGATAAGTAAGTAAGCTTACAAGAAAATGTTTCCTATTAGTGCAGCGTAAGAATGGTGTGTGTTGAGAAATGACCAAAACAATAATGCTCAACAGCGCTATAATTCGATAATTATGAAATGCTTGTTTGGCAACGTCAGCTGAGTTTTATTAGAACATTTTCGGATAAAAAATGGATGCGTTTCGAATTCTTTTGATTCTAACTTTATATTTCTGTAAACATTTTATAGCTGTAAATAAAGTATTTATTTGTCTTAATACTAATGCAAATTTATTTTGATGCGCATGTTTGAATTATTTCTAACATGCGGTTGAAATAGAATGCATTGGACACAGCCTTGATGTAGGCAACTCATTAAACAAGATGGTGTGAAGACCTATGATTGGAAACGTACGAGGGGGAGTCAAATGAAAACCATAATTATTTTTTTAAATATTATTTATTGGTCACACAGGGTACAGAAGTAAATCACTTTTCAACATAGTCCCCTCCTCGTTCAATGCAAGTCCGCCAGCGCTTCGGAAGAGCCTGAATGCCTGCAGAAAAAAGTCTTTTGGGCGACGGCGCAACCACTCGTGCACCGCGTTGCGTACCTCTTCATCGGAGTGGAACTTCCTGCCCCCCCCATTGCTTCTTTGAGCAGACCAAACAGATGGAAATCGCTCGGTGCGAAGTCTGGCGAGTAAGGGGAATGTGGGAGGTATTCAAATTTCAGGTCTGTGATGGTCGCAACCGTTGCACGCGCCATATGGGGCCATGCATTGTCGTGTTGCAGCAGCACACCGGCTGACAGCAATCCAGGTTGTTTCGTTTTGATGGCAGGCCGGAGATGATTTTTTAGGAGGTCCGAGTACGTAGCACTCGTCACAGAGGTTCCTCGTGGCGTGTAGTGTTCCAAGATCATGCCCTTTTCGTCCCAAAAGAGGGTCAGCATAACCTTCCCTGCAGACGGCTGTGTCCGAAACTTTTTGGGTTTCGGTGATGAGGAGTGGCGCCACTCCTTGCTCGCTCGCTTTGTTTCAGACTGATGGTAATGCACCCATGTTTCGTCACCAGTGACGATTCGTGACAGGAGGGCATTACCGTCACGTTCAGCACGCCACAAAAGGTCTTCGCACGCATCAACACGTCGCTGTTTCAGTTCAGGCGTCAGTTGTCGGGGCACCCATCTTGCAGACACCTTATGAAACTGGAGAACATCATGCACAATATGATGTGCCGATCCATGACTCATGTGTACACATGCTGCAATTTTGTCTATTGTCACACGGCGGTTTTCCAAAACGATGGCTTCAACGGCTGAAATGGTCTCTGGAGTCACTACGCGCCGAGCCTGGCCGGGGCGTGCAGCATCGGCCACGGACGTAACACTATTTGCAAATTTCCGGCACCATTCATAGATTTGTGCCTGTAACAAACACGCATCTCCATACTGAACTTTCATTCGCCTAAAAATGTCAATCGGTTTCCCACCTTCACTTCGCAAAAACCGAATCACAGAACGCTGCTCCTCGCTGGAGCATGTGGCTAGTGGGGCTGCCATTTTGGAACTGTTGTTGCGCCGGTTTTTGTGCATCTGCCGGCTGCTGCCACCTAGGAGACATCCGGCATACTATCGCAAACAGGCATGCCAACTTACAGCTTACTGGCGCCATATGCGGATTTTTATTTCTACTTTTATGGTTTTCAGTTGACTCCCCTACGTAGAACAGCATATTTTCAAGAAATTTCTTCTGATTTAAGGCGTAAAAGGGAGTATAATTTACAGAGCATTTGAAGCACCTGTTCAGAAGCCCTTTAGCGGGAATAAAAAAATTTTTGAAAGGTTCAAACGGCAGAAGATGGCCTTAGATAAAGACGACCTCGGCCGAGATGGCCCAGAACCCTCTGCAGTCGTTTTCTTTGAACACTAGCACCTGGAAAGCCTAATCCTTGGAAACTATCAGAGAATGTACCGCCAAATGCATATTTCTCTCTCTCTCTTTTCCTTTATGCCAGTTTCGTCACATACTTGCTCAGATGTTTATGCAGAATTTATTGGTAAGTGGCGTGCTTTATATTGGGAGGAAGAAGCTTAATCGCATGCTTTGACGTAAACTGTAGACTTGTCTTGCCTTGTAATCCGTTATTAGATTAAGCCGGTTTGCTGAGTGATTTGAATTTAGAACAGGTTACCCGAACCAAATGTTATATATAGTTCTGAGTACTAGTATTATAGCCAGTTAAAGAGGCCCACCAGCGGCCGAGCGGTAAAGTCGCTGAACACTGGTAGTTCGGTCTGAGGTTCGAATCCTGCGAACGGGCTGGCTGCATGGGTGTTTTCGTGGTTTTCCCATGTGTAACGTGTATACGAGCCAGTTTCCCTTAGAAAGTCCTACACGAAGGCACCCCTCCCCTTAGGCAGATAGCCTAGTGTGCTTTGCCATAATTAAAAATGCACTACATGCACTATAGCCAGTTAAATTTTTATACGTTCCAGACAGTTGCTGAAAGTGAAGAGACTTAGATATTATGTTTGTATTATTTTAACTCACAAATAGTGGGGAAAATAAAATTAATATTTTACATCATTGTGCGTGTTGCTCCCACAGTCAATTCAGGCTAAGAATCATAACGCGCCACCACAGTTTAGGTAATATTTGAAGATGAGTATGTGGTACAGGTATTCAGTTAGCTAGAAAGTCCCCAACTCTAATCGTTATATAATCATTATTTTAAATTAATTCTAAAAATTTAATGCATATTCAATAGCGAGTAACTATGGCCTTCGACCGGCAAAGAATAATATAAATTTGGAACTTTCGGAAAGCCAGATTGTTTTGGATTGTAGTGTCACCTTGGACGAAATGTGCGTCATTCCATCCTGGAACCGAAACATGCATTAAAGCAGCCGAGCTTTCGGATTCACCACCTCCTAAACATTTTGAGCAAGTGAGTGTATAGGCAAAGTTATGACCAATATTTTTTAGAATAAAAGTGACAACATTCATTTGGGACAAAAGTGACAACATTTCGTTATGTGATGTCACAATTAATAATGATTACTATTTCCAGGTTTCCAAAGAGGTGTATAATGTTCAAAGGAAAACGCCTTAGTGTGGTAATTATAATTAAAGCGTTCTGTTCCTCCAAGACAATGATGCCTTTATATTGTCCGTCACTCGCTTTACATCTTACGCGAATGGGCTTCGAAATAATTGCCTCCTACCCTTTACAATTCGAATGTAGTTTCAAAAAATTTTTATCTGTTTGCACACTTAAAACAGTTTTTCAAAGGCAAGCAGTTCAACAATCGCGATGAAGTGAAACAAATACTGTCTAACCACACTACCGAGAGCAGTTTGGCCGAGAGCCAAGATGGGTCAGTTTAATTGAAAGGATGTGGGTAAAAAAACGTGGGTATTTTTCCCTCTCGGAGGTCGTAGCGGTTGTAACAGCTTTAATATTGTTATTAATCTCTCGTGCATTTGAAATAGATGAATAATAAATAATGTACAGGTTACTGGCAACATTGAAACGCAGGCTTGAGAGCCGAATGCATTTTCTCGCACAAGCATGTTTTTTTTTTAAACGTTTTACCTTCTTGTGTTGTACGCATTTTGGTGTAAAAAAAGTATTGTATCTGAATTTTAAATTATTAGAATAGGTGGGTGAAAAGGGGTATTTTTCTTGGTCGGGTCTGTGCTTTTTACAATCTTGATACTTACTTGTAGGGTTTATATTATTTTAACTAACATTTATTTTAAGTTTAAACTATCT